ATTTTCAGACAGGTTTTTATAGAAATGGATCAAAAAGAGAGAGAATCTTTGTTCCTGAAACTTTCAGAGTCTCTTTACACAGAGGGGACACATGTTGATGAAGAAAGAGACATGAAGAAGAGGGGACACATGTTGATGAAGAAGAGACATGAAGAAGATGGGGACACATGCTGATGTAGAAGAGACATGAAGAAGAGGGGACACATGTTGATGTAGAAGAGACATGAAGAAGAGGGGACACATGTTGATGTAGAAGAGACATGAAGAAGAGGGGACACATGTTGATGAAGAAGAGACATGAAGAAGAGGGGACACATGGTGATGAAGAAGAGACATGAAGAAGAGGGGACACATGTTGATGTAGAAGAGACATGAAGAAGAGGAGACACATGTTGATGAAGAAGAGACATGAAGAAGAGGGGACACATGTTGATGTAGAAGAGACATGAAGAAGAGGGGACACATGTTGATGAAGAAGAGACATGAAGAAGAGGGGACACATGTTGATGAAGAAGAGACATGAAGAAGAGGGGACACATGTTGATGTAGAAGAGACATGAAGAAGAGGGGACACATGTTGATGTAGAAGAGACATGAAGAAGAGGGGACACATGTTGATGTAGAAGAGACATGAAGAAGAGGGGACACATGTTGATGTAGAAGAGACATGAAGAAGAGGGGACACATGTTGATGTAGAAGAGACATGAAGAAGAGGGGACACATGTTGATGTAGAAGAGACATGAAGAAGAGGGGACACATGTTGATGTAGAAGAGACATGGAGAAGAGGGGACACGTGTTTATGTATAAAATAGTTTTGCATAATAGGTGACCTTTAATAGTTTATTCTTCATACTGGTGATAACTTCTCCATCTCCGGCTGGTCGCTCTCGGTGCCGTTGTTTCGCCCGGGGTCGTCGTTGAGCATGTGGTCGGGGGCGGGGTTTGTGACGAGGCCCATGAAGAGGGGGGTCAGCGAGGCGTCGTCCACAAGGGCGAAGAAGAACGGAGAGTTGGCGGAGAACAGGGAGATGGAGCGCATGGTGGTGACGGCGGTGGTGGCTGACGCCTCCACGCCCTCCTCGCTGAGCTCCAGGGTGGAGGCGTGCCGGACCCCCGTCACCCTCAGGGGGTCCGAGGTGATCCCAGAGAGGTTCGGACCGGAGAACAGAGAGCCGAGGCCTGGGGGGAGGAAGAACCGGAGAAAGAGGGAGTCAGTGAGGTGAGTAGAACAGACACAGATCTGATTTCTGTGGTTATTGAAGTACAAAAGGAAATGGCGGTATCTGTTGGCTGTTACAGAGTCAACCCTCGTCATTGGGCAGCTCTGACATGTACAAATGTGTCTGTTGATTGTGTATATGTTAGTATATACATATTTGTATACATATTTTTATATATATTTGTATTTTGTATTCCCCTGGATTGTGGGAAACGGTATTTCGATCTCTCTGTCTGTACACACAAACTGAAAGATTGACAATAAAGTTGACTTTGACTTTGACTTTGACATGGCTGGCTAGTTAGCTTGTTAGCTTCTCCAGACTAGAGGAATATGTTAGATACACTGTCTGGCTCTTTTCTGTAACCAGCGCGACCTTAAAGCATTGTGGAATTAGCAAGCAAGCTAGCTGTAACACTGCTAATACATGTCAATGGCAATGTGCTTCACATGTTGCAGCATTAGTTAATTTCCTTCTTTGTCGTCGCAGGGAGTGAGCCTCTTACTAAAGCTCACCTATTATGCTATATTTGAACAATATATTATAGGGCCATATCTATACAAAACATGTCTCTGAAGTGTTTTGCTCAAATACCAAACAGGTCCCCCATTATAGCCTCATCCCCCTCTATTTCTGCCCTGATACTAACGTGCTGATTCTGGGTCTAATGTTCTCACCCATGTTGGTGAGCGCCTCCTGCAGCTCCTGCCGGTACTGCAGCTTGAGTTTGGGCAGGTTGACCTGCATGGTTTTCTCCTGCGGTAACCGTCTGTAGAGATCTGAGATGTTCAGTTTGGGAAGCAGTGACGACACGTTTCCTTTTCCAGACAAAGGCATGACGATCAGGAAGCTGGTGTTCCCTTTGAAGGGGAAACTGGCAACCTGCAGGAGAGGGAAGGGTTTCAAAGCTCCATCATTTCATAAGGACTTTACAAAACTACACCTGTTGTGCACATGGCAATAAAGAATCTGCGCCTGTGGTCACCTGTGCCTCCAGCTGTTGGTCGTTGAGCAGACGCAGAGGGTACTGAGGAGACTTCATCATGTCCACCAACACCGAGTTGCTGTTGTCCAGGTAAAACGCTCCCTTAGAGGTCACCTGGGGGTCAAACTGTGTCTGCCATGCACCTGAGAAACACAACAGGGAGCAAGAAGGAGGCATCAGGCAATCAGAAATGTGTTTCTCTTGTGTGTGCGTCCCGGAAACCATCTGACGTTAACCGACTAGCATCAATGCAAAGTTCTATTGTTTCGTAAAATCATTCAAGCTAGATATGAAACGTCACAAATTCTATCATGTTTTGCTAACCATTTATGTATTTCTTAAATACTTAAAAATATATCTTGAGGCACACTTTGGGGAAACATCTTCCTATATTCCTAATCACAAGACTCCTGCTTTGCTTATTTATAAATGAGGTGGCCCTTCACACTGAGCATTGGACGTGTGTCCTGTTTGCTGATGATGTTGTCCTTTTCCCTTCAATATGCAACGAAGCAATGTGGTTTAAATCTGCAGTTATTAATAAAATGGAGTCTGCCTTTGGTTTGCTTTTAGCCAGCACTTAACCATTTATATGTAGGATTATTTGAAGCAGAATAGGGCCTATTAAAGCACATAAGTCATGTGACAAAAGTACGTTAAAATGTTTGGGACTCCACTGCTCTTTCTACAAGGTGACCTGAAAATCCTTCACCATTTTGACGGTTGAAGAGGAACTGATTACGTGTTTTTTTTTAATGATAGAACATTATTTCTGTCCTGACATGAATCACCACGCTCTTTGGTGGGGGGGGTCACCTTTGAAGTAGACAGCGTTGATGAGCATGAGCACCACGCTGTGGGGAATACTCTCCATGAAGTTGTTGATCTGACCATTGGTGGCGTTCTCCACCCATTGGTTCACCTCCTCCACGGAGACCAGGGGCACCGGGGACGATTGGTACCTGAAGAATAAAACACATCTTTGATTTCAGAATAGGCATTAAAACAGGTATGGATGTAAGAAAAACAACAGAACTAAAACCCCCATTGTCTTAAAAACACATTCTCTAATATCTTACAGGTAGATAATCGTCACGTTGCCATGTCTGTAGTTTCTCTTCACCTTCCTATACTTTTCTGCCGCTCAAGTATTTGAGTATATTTCAATACCTTTCCCTGAATGCCCAGCAGCCGTCACTAGAGAGCTTATCCACCTGAGGGTCACATGACCTTATCCTTACGGTTGTTACCTGTTAACCCATTAAGGCCCACACACACCATGTTAACTACCGGCAATCTAAAGACGTTTTTTAGGCCTTCAGCGTCTAAGTTGTCTGAATTTGGTCCAAACTTTGAACGCTGATCCATTTTCATTCCTCAAGAGTATCTTTATATATCTAAAATGTGTACAGGATGTTAAAATGCATTGTCTTGTAATGGAAGTAAGTGTGTATTTGGCCTGACTGTAGTTGATACCTGGCCAGAGAGTCCTCAACAAAAGACAGCTCCACTTCAAACCCTGAGAGACGAAAGACAGAGAGTAGGGTTAAAACAAATCAAACACTAAATCTCTTGCAGACCCTCCCCAGCTCCACACTCATACCTGGTCTCAGGTACATGCGAGCGGCCACCTCCAGCGACGTGTTCCTGAAATGAGGAATGAGGGCTCCCAGGGTGTGATGGAAACACGGCAGCTCGGAGGCGTGGAGGCTCTCCAGGAGCAGCTTCTCTGTTTCATTGCGAGCACCTGAGAGAATGGAATAATAATAATAAAAGATCCTATTTTATTGCACACTGCAGACCTATCCCGAGGCCTTTTCTATAAATTACATTTTAATCGATGTTTCCATCCCAACGTTTTATAGGTTTTTTCCTTGGTTCGCGCTACACCCTTCCACCAGATCTCCAGTAGTTGTTTCCATAACCCGTTTCCCCGCATTGCCATCCAGTGATTAAGACCAGCTCTAACAGGTCACGTGTTTTTTCATGACCAAATACTTTACCCTTCCACCAAGTTTCATGAAAATAAGGCCAGAACTGTTTTCCATTACCATGCTCACAAACAAACAAACCAACAACAACAAAACAGCAGTGTTCTACTGTGCAGAAAAACCATGCATGTATCCCTGGGTCTAAGCCTCACCCTTACACCAAGTTTCAAAATAATCCAGATAGTAGTTTTGTCAGTAAGCCTTCTGACTAACAGACAAACTATCAAACAAAGATAAAATAATGCCTGTTTCTGCCCAAAGATCTGGATCCACTTTATGGGTCTTTACTTGGACCACGGTTCACCATTCCACCAAGTTTCATGAAAATGTGTCAAGTAGTTTTTTCCGTAAGCCAACAACCAGACAAAGAGGAAATAAAGGTCTAAACAGATGAGGAGGTGAACTTTGACCGACCTAAGGTGAGCTGAGCGAGGGCCAGGGCGAGGCTGAGGGGGGAGATGATGACGTTCGGCTGCTGGGGGCCGACAGGAAGTTGTTCCAGTATCTTCAGACCCAGTCGCTCGATGGCGCCCCCTATCGCCCTCCGGCTCTCAGGACTGAACGCCTGGCTTCCTGTGCAGCTGACCTGCTCTACGTCCGTCTCCTTCTCTTCACCCTCAGGGACATCAGGAGGGACAGTGCTGAGCTCCTGCTGAGGACAGGAGGACACACAGGGGTCACTCTCTACAGATGTTAATATTACCTGAAGGACAAACTGTAAATAAACATGGTTCCTTGGAGGTTCTTCTTACAGTCAGTCCCAGACAGCAGAGACAAAGCAGGAGAAGAAGAAGACACAGCTTCATGTCGAAACAAACCGCCTGCAAACAGAGAGAGAAATCATAAATCAGAGCCCCTATTATCAGAAATGTGCAGAAATAGTCAGTAAACTCCTATTTATGATAACAATAACATGGGTCTTTCCAATAGGCGCGTTCACACCAAGTACTTTGCCGTATTTAGTGCCGGCACTCAGTGCGCCGGCACTTATTACCTGAGGGCATTTAGTACAGATCGCGTTCACACCGGAGTACTTTTCCCTGAGGGAAGATTACGCAAATGAGCCGCTGACGTCACTTCTTCTTCTGCTTTGGGTTTACTGGCAGGCCGCAAACAACTTCACGGCGTATACTGCCACCCGGAGTCCCCGGCCGGAAGTCCCCGGAGTTGGGGACTGGCTTCAGTAGAAGCTGCTGGGACTCCCAGCAGCTTCTACTGAAGCCTTCAGAGTAAATCCCCAGAACGCCGACACCTCCTCATCTCCACCGCTCCCATGTTTTATTTTGTGTTGCCATAAGTTAGTCTCTCTGCGTTTGTGCGCTGGGCGAATGCTAATGCTAATAATGCTAATGCCAGGATAATAAAATGGCGGCTCTACAAAACGGGGAGTTGTACGGGGCGTGGTTTGCAATTCGCCCAGCCAATCAGAACTGGGGCATTTTTTTCCCCCAGGAAAGCACCATCTCTCAGCAGGCCCTAAAAATGGGGGTAAAAGTTCCCGAGATAAAGTGCTCTTTTTGGTGTGAACGCGACATAAGGGGTACTAACGGAACTAAACGCGAAAAGTACGGTGAAAAGTACTCCGGTGTGAACGCGGCTATTGATGAGATTGAATAATATGACTTTTGTCCACTACATGGCTCCTAATGGACATTTGTTCTTAGGAAAGAGAAACCAAAGAACAAATGATACAACACATAATGAATGGCAAAGGTTCATTTCAAGGACTGACAGCCACATGAACCAGCGGTGAAAGATGCGTATATAATTATCGTATTCGTACGATATTTTGATCTTTGTACGATGTATGATGGCCAACAGTGCCATTTTGCTCATTATCCAGCCATTTAAGAGGCTAACAGGTCATAGTTTAAGCACTTATTCTCACTTCGCCATTCCTTATTTTAACGTAGGCTCTGATGTTGAGAAACGTGAATTGAGATCAGCTATTGTTCGTGAGTTGGCGCTTATTTGAAGAGAGTTTGAAGTAGATATAGTGAAACTGCTCAATCAAGTCAATATAGGTTTTTTAGAACAATTTCCAAACTGGCAACACTGACCTGAAATCAAAAATACTCTCAAGGAAGCCATGAGGTATTTTATAACTGGAGAATATTGGGAATTTAGTGGTAAATCGTCAAAATGCAGTCCATCAATCACATAAATCACACACAATAACATCCTAGCATGTTAGCATGTAACTTAGCATCCATCTCAACTGAAAATAACATTGGTTTAGAAGTCCAAACCAAATGTTATGACGATCCAATCGTAACCAAGATAATTTAGTCTAGATCTAAGTCTTTAATCGACAGGTCCCGATTGTCCATTAACTACAATTGTTAAAATCGGGACTGTTGACGTTGTGTCTCATGGTTCTACTTTCTGTCCGTGCTCCAGAGTCACTTGAGGTTTCGGAGGCGTCCGTGTGTTTACCGGCAGACTAAAGGTTACTGGCTGAGCTGCAACACACTGAATACACAGAACGCAGACTACACTGAAGTACATGAACTACACGACTCTATCAACACTGTGTACCAGATAAGACTCAAACCGCTATGTGAGCAACCCCCCCCTTAATACCAGGACCCTCTCTTGTTGGGGGCAGTGATATTTAAAAGTGTTTCTGTGTATTGTGAGAAATAAACATCCAATACTACGATATACGTAATTCTCGTGTGGGCCATTTTGCACACTTTGGGGTTAATACTTGTAAGATTCAGAATGCATGGCTTACTTGAATTTCTACACTGTTGTATTACTATTTTTACTTTACAGAAAGATCTGAATACTTCTTCCACCTCTCATTAAACCGTTTGTTCCAAAATAATCTGTGTTACGAGGTAAATAAAGACCACGGTGTATTGACCGGGGTCCTGAACACAGTGTCACACTAAATAACTTAAAAACTCTATATATAAAATGTGATTTTTCCCTTTTAATCTGCTGTTATTTATTTTTGAATTTCCTCGTATTTGGAGTGCCCAACCTAGGGTATGTAAGAGTGGTTTGTAATATGTTGGTACAACTTGAAATCGCATGGGGCCCCCTCAGTTGTTTTAAAGATGATCCTTGTCCCCACTTTTTTTTCTTTCTGTTTTTTACAGTTTACGTACAACTTTCTCTCTGGACAGATTCAAAACTCATTATCATCCTTTTTCTTTAACCGTAAGGCGGTGCAGACTCACCTGGTGCTGTGTGCGATGTGAAGGCAGATCGGTGAGAAAGCAGAGTTGTTAAAAGGCGATGAAATTAAGAGTAAAGATATGTTGATCCGTCCTGAGGCTTCGCAGCGTAGTGGCTCAACACTGCCCCCCCCCACACACACACAGCCGGTTAATCATCAACATCAATGTGTGTATACTCTCTACAGCAGGGGCGTCCAAACCTTTTTCACCGAGGGCCACATACAGAAAAATACACAAAGGTTTGGGCCACTCACTAGAGGTGAGGTATATTGCCTCATAAGTTAAGTTGTAAGTCGGCAAAATCAATCAAATGTGGGTAAATGATGCTCAATCAGCGCACATCACATCTCTCCATAGGGTTTCAATTATTTTGTTAGCAGCTCATTCCTTAAAACAGAAGCTTCAGATTGCTGATAATAAGAGCTAACAATGACATTATTGTTCTATTAATATAAAGGGAGGTCAGGTACTCTTTAAAACGGCTGGTAGTTATGGGTACTTTTTACTGAAGTACATTTCAAAGCCCATACTTCTTTACTTTGACTTGAGTAAAGGATGTGTGTACTCTTTCATCTCTGCTCATGGCGCTCTGCACACAGCGGGGGCGTCTGTTTGTTCTGACCTCCAGCCTGATGCCCCCGCACCGTCACAAAAATCTTCCTCCACTGACCCCCATCCTCCGAATCACAAAACCACCGACTCTGAGAGAGTAGATCACGTCAGTCTGAATCTGAGACGGAGGTTTTAAAACTCATCCTCATTTCACAAACTGAACATCGGCCACAGTGTTATTCAAGAATATGTTTATTTACAGAGGTTCAAACTCAATAATTCCCCTCCGTTATGAACCGTCCTGAGAGTCAACCTCTTAAATGATCGTGGTGTCACAATCACATGTTGAAATCTCCTCAAATCCAGTGAGCCAGGCTCAGGGTGAGGTCAGGGTCAAAGTGAGAGGGCACTTTGTTGAATTATCACAGTGTGTTAACAAGAGAGACCCTTCCAGACCCTCCCACACACACACACACACACACACACACACACACACACACCACACACACACACACACACACACACACACATACACACATACACACACACACACACACACACACTGCCTGACCACCAGTATTACATACACATGCCACACACACACACACACACACACACACACACACACACACACACACACACTGCCTGACCACCAGTATTACATACACATGCCACACACACACACGCACACACGCCTACACACACACACACACACACACACACACACACGCACACACACCTACACACACACACACACACACACACACACACACACACACACACACACACACACACACACACACACACACTGCCTGACCACCAGTATTACATACGCATGCCACACACACACACGCACACACGCCTACACACACACACACACACACACACACACACACACACACACGCACACACACCTACACACACACACACACACACACACACACACACACACACACACACACACACACACACTCCATTAGAACATTAATATTATTTATGTAAAGCATGTTTAGAATGTTGAACCTGATTTTAACCCTCCACATTTTTTTAGGATTTCCAAACATAAGAAATATAAAGTGTATGAAAGTTGAACTAAATGTAAATATGCAACACACAAGGCATGTTTGTCTTTAGGGGATCCCAAATGAAGACTCAAACTAACAAAAAAACACAAGTCTTTACATCGCAAACGTTCACATTTAATTGAAACGCTTACTGTAAAGTCAAGGTTTTTGATTTTCCTTTTCTTCTGATATTTCATGCAGTATGGTTTGATGTCCACTGGGGGTCAGCAGAGGGTCATCTGCAGATTCAACTGAGAGGAAAACTAAACTCCTTTTACGGAAAGCATTCAATTAAAGAAGAAACTGTTGTGATTAAGACCACTTAAAGGTGGGGTAGGTAAGTTTGAGAAACCGGCTCGAGATACACTTTTTGTTATATTCCATGGAATGCTCTTAACATCCCGATAGCAATGAATATCTGAAGTGCTTTGACAATAAATCCATAAAGAAATGTCATCAGTGGAAGCCGTAGTACTGTAAAAAGCACGACCAATCATTTTAGCCGGCCCGGCTAAAATAACTGGATGGCCTACCTGCCTGTCAGCCTTCCATCTGTGCACAAACTTATCTCGTGCCCTCATTGGTCATGTGCGCGTTCGTGTGTGTTGGAGGAGGGGCTCTGTAAGGAAGTGGCAGATGTTCTCCGGCTGTGTATTTTCAAATTCTAGCGCACTCGAGCCGGTTTCTCAAACTTATACCCCACCTTTAAAGGTCCCCTATTATCCTCGTCTTCATCAATATATCACAGGTCTCAGATATATACAGAGCCTGTCTCTGATTGGCTGAAACACCAAACAGCTCATTGCAGCATTACCCATAATCCCCTCTGTTTCAGCCCTGTTTCCAAAGTGCTGATTCTCTGTCTGTTACTTTAGATGAAAATAAGGAGCCCCTCCCCACGCCCCTCTGAGAGAGATTTGGTTACAAATAACTCAATGGTGCTCTAGGAGGAGATTCAGGTGATAAGGTGTGGGGGGGGGGGGTTACCTTGGTTGCTGATTGGCTAATGGTTACACAAGACAACTTTATGACATCATAAAGTGGCCAAAATCTGATCAGCTCATTTTCAGACAGGTTTTTATAGAAATGGATCAGGACAGAAAGAGAGAGAATCTTTGTTCCTGAAACTTTCAGAGTCTCTTTCCACAGAGGGGATACATGTTGATGAAGAAGAGACATGAAGAAGAGGGGACACATGTTGATGAAGAAGAGACATGAAGAAGAGGGGACACATGTTGATGTAGAAGAGACATGAAGAAGAGGGGACACATGTTGATGTAGAAGAGACATGAAGAAGAGGGGACACATGTTGATGTAGAAGAGACATGAAGAAGAGGGGACACATGTTGATGTAGAAGAGACATGAAGAAGAGGGGACACATGCTGATGAAGAAGAGACATGAAGAAGAGGGGACACATGTTGATGTAGAAGAGACATGAAGAAGAGGGGACACATGTTGATGTAGAAGAGACATGAAGAAGAGGACTTTGCTTAATATGGGACCTTGTATTCATTTTTTAGGTTGAAAATTCCTCTTAAAAATGCAGCCTTTTTGAAATGTCCTAAACCTCCGATGATTGGATCGAGGTGAGTGGTTTTGTGTTTGTTCATTTTGAGTTTGTATATGAAATGTGTGACCTTCATGTGTCCTGGCCCTCGGACAGCAGCTCTCTGAGACTCTTTGTGTTTGAACATGGCAGCGGGACGACAGAGCAAACAGAGAGGAGCGCTGGGAGGAAACTCAGAACACGGGAACTCTATAGCATTAAACATGGATACAACCAAGAGACACAAAGGGACTGCGTAAAGCTGCAGAACCACGCAGAACATGTGCAACGTGACCACCAGGGGGTGCAAACCAACACACAAAGATAGGTGCACATGGTCAGAAAGATGCATATTGTAAATGCATCCTTTAAAACTGTTTATATTTCATTATTATTTAAATTCTTATCTCAGCGCAGACTGTGACCTGACAGGAGATCTGTGTTTACTCTGTGTGTGAGAGCTCAGATAAGGTGTGTGTGTGTGTGTGTGTGTGTGTGTGTGTGTGTGTGTGTGTGTGTGTGTGTGTGTGTGTGTGTGTGTGTGTGTGTGTGTGTGTGTGTGTGTGTGTGTGTGTGTGTGTGTGTGTGTGTGTGTGTGTGTGTGTGTGTGAGAGTGTGAGAGAGAGTGTGAGAGAGAGAGAGAGAGAGTGTGAGAGAGAGAGAGAGTGTGAGAGAGAGAGAGAGAGAGAGAGAGTTAATATGTAGTGTCAGCCGTGCAGGGCATCACATTGAGAGACAGACGGAGACACAGAGGAGTGAAGAGACGCTCAGGAACTGATTCACTCTGACAGACTTTTAAACTCTTCTTCTTCTCCTTCTTCCTCCTCTTCTTCCTCCTCCTCTTCCTCAGCATGTCGGTTCTTCCTCTGCGTGTGAGAATGCTGCGGCAGGTGTGGAGGTGGAGGGGGGTCCTGGTCCTCGTGTGCAGCCCCTTCCTGCTGCTGCCGCTGGCCCTCAGCACCACGGTGAGGAACCACATATTAATATGAAATACTTTAAAGAGCACGACCTGCTTCAGACGCAGCTTGACACACAACGTGATGAACCTGCAACGCGTTGAGATCATACAAAAAGCTGACAGGTCAAATGTAAAGACTGGGTCATATAAAGTACAAACAGTAAGAAGTCATTGTGCGGAATACCTTATTTTACATTATTGCATTTGAAAAAAGGCAAATAAAAATGTGGTTGGAAATTCCTCGAAAGTAGGATTTTTTAAGTAAAATTTCAAAGTAAAAAAATGTAAACAAACAATTGGAAAACATCACAATCAATGTCTTAAAAATAAGTGAAACATGGAGCCCTGAAAAATGTTACATAAAAAAAAATTATAGAAATATAAAAAATGACACAGAAGTGTTTACAAAAAGTATGTATGAAAAAAAAAGTCCATAAAGAAATGTGAAAAAGGAAAAATAAGTGAAATATAGTTATTTAAGAAGGTTTCAGGTGCCTGTAAATTGTAAAAATCAATGTCATTGTGCAGAACAATATATATCATATTATTATTATAGTTAAAAAATGTATACTTCACATTAAAGGGGACCTATCATGCAAAAGTCACTTGTTGATGTCTTTTATACGTCACTATGTGTCCCCGGTGTGTCAGGGAACTCACGCAGCGTCAGGAAATAAAACCCTCTCTCTTTTCCTCCGTACCCAAATCTCTAAAAACGGGGGAACAACGGAGCTGATCCAGATTTGCGTCCGATATGACGTAATATCTGAAATGTGGACCCACGGCACTATCAGAAAGTTGCTATCAGAAACAATGCCCGACTGTTTTGGACGTAATATGGTCGGTGTTTACATTAGCATCGCTAACACTCAGAGCTAACCTGTACTGGAGAGCATGTGTGTGAAGAAGCAGGAAATAAAAAGGAACTCACCTTGTGGTATAACCGGCAAGAGAGAAAGCCTTTGAGCTCCATACTGTTTCAGAAACAATC